ATGATACGTGCGTGCGTGCGTGCGTGCGTGCGTGTGTGTGTGTGTGTGTGTTGTTTACTTTCTCCCACTATGTTATGCACTAATTTCAATGTTCCTATGTATGCCATTGTCATGTTGATTGTAAATTTGTATCATATATTATTTTGTTATAACGAAAAACTTTGTAAAAGTTTAAGTTAATAAAGTATCTATCTATGTTAACTTTAAAGCAGCACACCTCCAAGATTCATCCTAATTTTCATGAAAATTTGAAAATGTATTTAAAAGGTTAAAATATTGTTAAATGAACAAAGAAAGTACTTTGACACATTACAATCGGCACTTAAAATCCACATAAATTACCAAAAAAGAGGTCAAAAACATGCACTAATAGCCCCTACTGCGTTAGTAACGCAGTAGAAATATGGTGATAAATACTACAAAAATACAGTCATTAATTGTACATAAGATATTAAATTATCACTTGAATCTTTAATTTGTTTACTTTTCTCAAAGTTTTTTAGTTTTCCAAGTTTAATTTTCTTGAAATATTTTTGGTCATATCTGGAGGCATTCAGCATTTAAAGTAAATTATGAAATATTTATTTCTTTGACTGCAATAATATTTGCAATTATTTTTTGACACTGTATTTATTCAAACTTTGATGAAATATATAAAAGTAATTGGTACTGATACTAATTTACTTCACAAAAAGTACTAGTACTGCAGTACAGAGCTAAAAATCTAGTACTGGTACTGTAAAATGTTACTTGCATAAATTGCCAAGTACAATGGTACTGTACTTAAAGAACTACACCCTTAGTACTGATGCAGCTACTGGTCATGCAATGTCTGAAACCGGGAGATTGCTACGTGTGCTTGCTATACCATGGCAGCTCTCGAAAATTTTGGAATTCCAGTCACGTTTAGAGAAAATTCTACAAGAGAAGATTATCACATCATTCGATATACAATAGAATTCCGGGTACCCTCCAATAAATTTCCAGATATCTTAAAGTAACAGCAAAGTATCTATAAGAAAAATATTACTTGTAATAAATCGAGTAATACATGTATTTTATTTGACGATATATAAAAGTCACGTGGGTTGGCTACATAGTAGAGGTGTTAAAATATAATTGTAATAACCCTTTGTTAGCCATTGAAATAGTATTTAATGTATAAAGGACTTTCAAAAAAATGGTTATTATTCAGAGCGGGCCTATTGGTGCAGTGGTAACACTGTCTGCCTTCAAATCAAGGGGTCGTAGTTCGATCCCCCGCTACTCCACTGAACGAATAAATGACTACAAGACTGACAAAACCAGGACATCACACAGAATGACGGCAACGATAGATACAAGAGAAGACCTTAACGGAACAGGAAACAAGTACCGAAAGTACAAGACCGAAGACAACGACCGATAACAAAAGGAAGAATGGAGACAAGAACTGACAACAAGCGAAGAACAGAGGAACAGAGACATGGATAACAGAAATACTGGCAACAAGCGAACAGTGACAGGGACCGATAATAGAAGAACTGACAACAAGCGAACAGTGATGTCGACCGATAACAGAAGAACAGTGACAGGCACCGATAACAGCAAAACTGACAACAAGCGAACAGAGACAGGACCGATAACAGAAGAACAGTGACAGGGACCGATAACAGAAGACCTGACAACAAGCTAACAAAGACGGCACCCGATAACAGCAAAACTGACAACAAGCGAACAGAGACAGACCCGATAACAGGAGAACAGTAACAGGGACCGATAACAGAAGTACAGTAACCGTTAACAGAAGAACTGACAACAAGCTAACAAAGACGACGACCGATAACAGCAAAACTGACAACAAGCGAACAGAGACAGAACCGATAACAGAAGAACAGTGACAGAGACCGATAACAGAAGAACTCACAACAAGAGAACGGAGACAACGATTGATAACAGGAAAATAGAGACGTGGACCGATAGCAAAATAACAACCACGAGAACTGATTCCAGAAGAAAGGACAACAAGCGAACAGTGACAGAGACCGATAACAGCAAAACTGATAACAAGCGAACAGAGACAGGACCGATAACAGAAGAACTAACAACAAGCGAACAGTGACAGTGACCGATAATAAAAGAACTGACAACAAGCTAACAAAGACGACGACTGACAACAAGAGAACGGAGACAAGGATTGATAACAGAATAACATACACGAGGACTGCTTCCAGAAGAAAGGACACAAACATCAATAACGAGACGGGAACCGAAGAATTGACAACAAGAAAACGACGAGAACCGATGACAGAAGAACGAAGACGAGAACCGATAACAGAAGAACAAAGACAACGACCGATAACAGAAACAGAGATGAGAAATCGGAACATCTGACAATAAAAGAACCGATTACAGCAGAACGAAGATCACGACCAATAACAGAAGAACTGACAACAAGAGGCGACGAGGACCGATAATAGAAGAACGGAGACGACGACCGATAACAGAAAAACGAACACCAAAACCCAAGAGTACTAATTAATGTATATTTCGCATGCGCACGTATAAACCCCCTCAGACATACGCATAGGAATCTGAGTTGCCACTCTATATGCTTGCATAGAGTGCCAGATAAAATACATGAAAGCTCTTATATCGATATATCTTTATTTTTGTCTTTTTATTTTATTTATTTCTGTTTATTCTTTTTTTTTTGCAGATTAGGCATAAGGTTAGGTTCGCGCGTAACCCTAAATATAGTCTCTTGTTTAGAATCCTAAAATTTCAGTTTCTTCCTTAATATACTTCCTATATACTATTATGTGCTATAGTAAGTCCCATCTGATATTTCGACCATTCTAGCTTGATGTTGAATATCAATTTTAAAGTTCTTATTTTTTACCAAAACTTTGCTAGTGACAATTTCGGATTTCCTTTCTTAAAGGCTTTAGAATTATATCATCCATTTGATAAAAAATTTGCGGCATTTATGGTCATTCTTAAATGGCCATCAATGTCAAGGACAAGTTTTCATTTGTATCCGCATACCTTAAAAATAAAAATACCCAAGATACACTTACTACAATAATGCCTCTACCAACTTTAGGAGCTATAATATCTCAAAATCAGTCTTCTAAAACCTAAAGAGACTAACGTCTGATGTAATCTGTTTCTGTTTCATTAAACGCACGTGAATCAGGAACGCTATTAGCGTATCTTAGGGCAGAAGACGTTTACAATAGTTCTGTAAACAATACAACCACTCTTATTTTTTATATTTTCTATAAAAACAGAAAATAAACTAATTAAGTCAAATGTTCATATTTAGCTTTAAATAGGTCTGAAATGCTCTAAAATATAAACTTATATCATTTAAAAAGCTATTTGTTTTGATTGTATCTTATATACAACAGTTTATATTGTACGTCGCCTCATTTCACAGTGTATCAGGGGAAGACAACTTTCATAAACACGATGGACTGTAGAACAATCGGATTTCTCGCCCCCCCTGACTTAGAGTACGGTAACGGCGTTAAACTGGAGAATTACTAATATCTAGCATTACCACAAGATACCCTCAGACACTACAGTCAAAGACATCTTATATAGGTTATTTTTTTCTTAACTATTATATTATCCTAGTCTTGGAATCGAATATTCAATCCATTTGTAGCATTTTTAGAGATAGAAAATAGTTAAATGTTTAATTTATAAATTTTACTGACCACGAGAAATGTCGAAGAAATAAAATGTATTCAATAACACAAAGAAAAAGAGAATATAACTTATTAAATCATAATAGCATGAATTTTAGAGAATAAACATAAAAAATCAATCTAATATATTATATTAAAATTCCTTTTCTCTTACTTTAGCTTTATATAAACTACTTTTAAATCTCTTTATATCTCAATAATGGTAATAAGAAAATATCGTTGCTAATTTAACATTGTAAAGAAAATCTTTTAAAAATCTACTATTTTAATGTTATAAATATCATTATGCTGGAATAAAAAAATACTATCGCGCAGTAGAGATGTGACAAGAGATCTCAACAATTCACGAACGTCAACGTGGTGAAAGTTAAAGCTCGACTCAATTGGATTGCAGATAGCAGAATGAAGTCCGCAACGAAGAAGATATTGAGGTCATATTTGTCTTTCTCCTCGAGTCTTTAATTATAATTCTTCTTCTATGTGTTGTTTTTTTCTTTTGTTGTATACTATAAGCTTGTAAGAGATACATTATGCAAATAGAAACAGTGCAAATACACTATAAATATTTTTATCAGTACAATAGTGTCTAAAGCCGGTGCGAGGGGGCGTGGACGGTAACTTGCACTTTCAATGCAGTACCATCCATGTACGGGCTCAATCAAACCGAGCCTGCAACATTTTCAATTTTGTCATTATGGATTATTTTTAGGGATTCCGTGTTTGTATACACTATTGAATTGGTGTTTACATGACTAAAGTTTTTCCTTAACTCGTATTTATATTTTTTTGAAGATTCTGACGAATCCTCCATATGTTTTTAACAGCTACTTCGTTGAATTACATTTACTGCGAAAGTGATATCAATGTTTAAAGCGGAATCCAGTGTGGCGACCGCTGGCACCATCACAACGTCTCTAACTATTTCTTTATTTGAAAGTATTTCCGAATTTCGTTCAACATCAATTTTTTTTTTCTTTTAATACGTTGTTAAATTTCATTGTTATATCCATTTACAAATACACGTAGTGGTTTAAATAGCAAATACATGTAAGTTTAATCAAGAACCGGTTCAAGCAGATAGGGTAAATAGTAACAATTTTAAACGCTGTTGAACTTTCATTTAAAATAATTTTGAGGTTAATTGACAGTTTCGTCAAAGGTTTGGAAATGGGAGTTCAATCCTAAGTCTTATCGAACATGCACTTCGCGCCTGTGCAATTGAAAACTCAACTCGTTGAAAATCACTGTCTCTACCAGTAAAGGAACTTTATTTTTCGTTAATTGTTTTTTTGTTAATTGTTTTTCAGCATTCTAATAATGGCGGAAGGACGTGTAGCTTTTATGGGGAGAGCACAGGATGCATTGGCGTTTTTCTCAAGGTAACAGGTTTATTATGCTCCCCGAAAAAATTTCGGGAGAGCATATAGTCGCCGCCTTGTCCGTCCGTCCGTCCGTCCGTCTTTCCGTCCGTCCGTCCGTCCGTCCCCTTTTCTTGTCCGGGACATAACTTTGAAACAACAAGAGGTATCAACATGAAATTTTGTAGGTAGATAGATCTCATTGAGTAGAAGTGCAGTGCACAAGAACCGTAACTCTGCCTTGCCTATTTTTTGAATTATTCCCCTTTGTTTATTTTTACACTTTGAACTTTGTCCGGGACATAACTCTAAAAGTATAAGAGGTATCAACATGAAACTTTGTAGGTAGATAGATCTCATTGAGTAGTGTGCAGTGCACAAGAACCGTAACTCTGTCTTGCCTAATTTTTGAATTACCCCCCTTTGTTTATTTTACACTTTTGAAATTTGTCCGGGACATAACTCTAAAAGTATAAGAGGTATCAACATGAAACTTTGTAGGTAGATAGATCTCATTGAGTAGGTGTGCAGTGCACAAGAACCGTAACTCTGCCTTGCCTAATTTTTTGAATTACCCCCCTTTGTTTTATTTACACTTTGAAATTTGTCCGGGACATAACTCTAAAAGTATAAGAGGTATCAACATGAAACTTTGTAGGTAGATAGATCTCATTGAGTAGAAGTGCAGTGCACAAGAACCGTAACTCTGCCTTTGCCTAATTTTTGAATTATCCCCCTTTGTTTATTTTACACTTTGAACTTTGTCCGGGTGATAACTCTAAAAGTATAAGAGATATCAACATGAAACTTTGTAGGTAGATAGATCTCATTAAGTAGGTGTGCAGTGCACAAGAACCGTAACTCTGCCTTGTCTAAATTTTGAATTATCCCCCTTTGTTTATTTTACACTTTGAACTTTGTCCGGGACATAACTCTAAAAGTATAAGAGGTATCAACATGAAACTTTGTAGGTAGATAGATCTCATCGAGTAGGTGTGCAGTGAACAAGAACCTTAACTCTGCCATGCCTAATTTTTGAATTATCCCCCTTTGTTTATTTTTACACTTTGAACTTTGTCCGGGACATATTTCTTAATGTATAAGAGATATCAACATGAAACTTTGTAGGTAGATAGATCTCTTTGAGTAAGTTTGCAGTGCACAAGAACTGTAACACTGTCTTGCCTACTTTGTAGTTATTGCCCTTTGTTCATTTTGACACTTTGAACTTTGTCTGGGACATTACTCTAAAATTATAAGAGATATCAACATGAAACTTTGTAGATAGATAGGTCTCATTGGGTGGAAGTGCAGTGCTTAAGAATCATTACTCTGCCTTGCCTTATTTTGAAGTAATTGCCCTTTGTTTATTTTTACTTTTTGACTTTTGTCCTGGACATTACTTTAAAACTATTAGAGATATCAACATGAAACTTTGTAGGTAGCTAGATATAATTGGATAGAACTGCAACGCTTCAAGAACCTAAACAAAGCCTGGTCTAATTTTGGAGTTATTGCCCTTTGTTCATTTTTTTTATACTTTCCTGTGTCCAGAACCTTCTCGGGGAGCATCACCCGGTTCAAACCGCGTTCTTGTATTATATTTGTCTTCAGTAGATTTTGCTCATCTTTAAATATCATTCCCACAATTCTTCGAAAAAATATCTAAACACAAAATACTCCTCTTAACAGGAACATTATCTTTATATATGTACTTGCTCTGAACCAGCTCTAGATAAAGTCAAGAAATTTGGTCCAGACCACACTGTTCGCCGAGAATTCTTGATATCCTTGACCAAGTTTAACCAACAACAAGACATCTCCAATATCACTACGCAACCGCATACGATATCACTACGCAACCGCATACGATATCACAACGCAACCGCATACGATATCACTACGCAACCGCGTACGATAACACTACGCTACGGCATACGATATCACTACGCAACAGCATACGATGACCGAAGTTCTGCAATTTTTGCGTAGTTCCGTGCCTTTATCGCTGATAAGAGATCTCCATATTTTAAAACTCATTTTCAACATTCAAACCAACACCATTGGATTTAAAGGATATTTCGTTTATTTTCTTAACAATATCATTATGTCTGCGTTATTTTAGTGCGGGTTACCCATGCCCAAAGACGTTCAATCCGGCAGACTTCTATGTACTGACGCTAGCCGTACGTCCCGGGAAAGAAGACGAATGTAAAGAAAAGATTGAGGCAAGATAATTAATATAAAAATCATTTCTAAGCTTAAATAAGTACATTTGTCTGTTAATACATTATCTGGTTCTATCGACATGATGAATCATTAAGTGTTAACGCTTAAATAAGCCTCAAGCCGTTGCAAAAGGAAATTGCGTCTAAATAAACGCTCGTAAAATGAATGAATCAAACAATGTATTTCTTGTTTTTTCAATTTGTTATGTTATAACTTTATACTTTGTTGTCAACACATGTAAAGGGTCTTCCTATTCCTATCCGATTAAGATCCATTTTTGTTATTGAGATTCATTTAAGTTTGATAAAGATCTATTTTCGTTTCAATAGGCTCACTGTTCGTCTGATTAAGATCTAGTTTGATCAAAATCCTTTATAGTTTTATTAAGATCTATTTTTATTTTGATTAAGATCCATTTTATGATTGGCATATGAAGATTCGTTTTCGTTTGATAGGGGTCAATGTTTGTTTGATTAAGATCAATTTTGTTTGGTCGTATGATTAATATCAAGTTTTGTTTGATTCATAGTCATTTACGTTTTATTAAGATCCTTTTTCGTTTAATTAAGATCCTGTTTTGTTTAAGATCCCTTTTCGTTAAATTAACACATAGTTTTTCATTATTAAGATACATTTTTGTTTGGTTTATTTACAGAATATATGCGACAAATTTGACTCGTCGACTTACTCCAAGACTATCAAAAATATATCCGATGCCACCACAGTCGAAACAGACCATTTGCAAATAAAGGTACTTCTGTCATTGAAAAAATATTTATTTCTGTTTTTATTTTATTCCCGTTAATTGTTAAAGTTAAAAAAAATGTGTGATCGGAAAAGGCAAAAATAGTACCGTCCCAAATCTGTATAGATAACTACTCGTATAACTACGTAGTAAACATGCAGTATTGTAAACTTTGAAAACTTGACCTTTGCTGGTCAAGGTCATTGAGTCAAGGTCATATTTCAAATCCCCGTTCTTCGATCGATGCGGTGACAAATATTTTCTATTATATGAAAAGTGTATGAATTGTTGTTATTCATGATGATAAATAAACTTTAAATGCTTGACCTAGCTAATCAAGGTCATTTGGTCAAGGTTATATTTCAAAACTACATCATTCGATCGATGTGGAGATGAACAAGTATTGTCTGATGATTAAGATTTTTATCCAGTTATTTAATATTAACATGTTTAAACAAACCAAATTTTTAGCTGTTTGTGGTAACTATAAAATAAGTGAAATTTTGTTGCAGGATAGTATTTTGAAAGAAGACAGGTATGTTGGAATTTTTTAAAAAATCATTTTGTCTTATCTTTTTGTGTAATTACTAAAATGTACAAGTTTTAATATACTACAGCTAGTTTTCTAAAAATAATTAGGAATAGATTTGTTCAATATGAAAGCAATAAGTGATAAAACTTTTTCAACTTTATCTAGCTGGTATATTTCTGTAAAAATCCATTGCCATAGTAACCAATACCTACCATGATAGCTGATTTCTGACATAAACTGCTGTGTCGACAAGTTGTGGTCCTCTAAACAGTAGGTAGACATGTCACCTTTAGCGTTAAGCATCGTTTTAAGCGGTATATCGAAATAAGCGAAATCGTTATAAGCGGAGTTTACTGTATTTTTAGATTCAAGGCATCATGGCCTGTACAGATGGGAACAATGTTGTCTCGGACAGCTAAAACAACGTTCAGAGATACTTTGATGTTGTCTATCAGTATTGGAGAAACACTCGTAAGTACCATATTGAGTATTACACTAGATAACTGCAAAATTGGTCAACACTAATATACTATAAAATGATATTCTAATCAATCCACAAAGAAGTATTTATCATTATAATTATTCACCAAAACGCCAGATTACCCGGCTATAAGGATCTGTTTACATGATTGTATGAATTGTATGAAAATTTGCAGTCCGATTTCAAAGGTATCGAGAAAGTAATGTCATAATCTTACTTAAGGAATTCCAAACGACTGGTTACTTATATTTTGTAAAGCCGCAATCTGTTTTGATTCGGTTTGTTCGTTTTTGGTATGAATTTGTTTACAAATGTGAAACAGGGGATGGCTTTACTGCATGGATTGTTGTTTCTACGTCGTGACAATGATCAAGTTGGTGTGATGGACATCAATGGAGCCTTGTTTCTGATGATGTTAAACTTCTCAGTGACGTCAATGTATGCTGTTCTAAATGTAAGTTTGTACCAGTACAATGCTAAATTTAATCCTGACCAGAGTAAATAATTTGAATGGACTTGTACAGAAACTGTTTTTCAAATTGAAGACAGCTATGCATCATTTTCAGGGAAACTTTCAAAATATGAACTTAGTTAATAGCGAATAATGCAAACCATGAACAGACGACACGAATGTGTCGGCTGATCTTGAGCTAAACGAGTCACATTGGTAAAAAGCACACAGTTGCTGCCAGCACGCATTAATTAGGGTTAATTGTTTGACTATTTATTATAACTTAAACATTCGCCTTCTTTTATGATTTTTCTTGTTTAATTTTATATCTAATATTGCTTTCGCTTCAAAAGTGCGAAAATTATATGGCTTTGTATTTAAAATGTTTGTCGATTGACGATGCTGTACTATAGACACTCGTTATCATTATTATTCATAGATGCAAGTTTCTTATTTACTTTCATCTGTTTACTGATATCCCATTTGTTCATTTATTGCAGACGTTTCCGGCGGAAGTTCCGATATTTGTTCGGGAATACTCGGTAGATCTATACAGAATAGACGTTTATTATATATCTAAAATGCTTGTGGAGGTATGTAGATGAAGTGTAAATGCAATATTGTTTGCGTTGATTTTTTATTTTTAGCTCGCCTGAATTATAAACATCATGTCTTAAAGTCAAAATTGTCAATCTTGGCCTTCTTTTTCTGAATTTATCAAAAGGCTTTAAGTAGGAAATTTTAATGATACCTTTTGATTTAGATACAGGATGGTTTAGTTTGACCATTTTAATTGACATTACGGGAAATAAGGCGGCAAATAAAACAACGACGAGCATCAAATAAACTTATGTCTCTGTTATTTTTCCAAAGCTTCAAATATTTTTACATAAGTACAATAATTACTTTTTTTACAAAAGACCAATATTACCTTCATTTCACTTTTCTTACAATTGAGAAAAATTATGAAATATTACCAGACGATTTCTTGAATGGTGTGCATCTTAGAATTGAAAATATGTTTTTACATTTTTTCTTTTCAGCTTCCATCACACCTAATTATGCCAATAGCTTTTTGTTCCATTGCTTATTATATGATAGGTGAGTACCCTAAGTTCGGCATTATATTGTATATATTATATTTAAGATAAATACTATTACGATACTGTCATTTAAAGATATACTAAGCTCGTCTTTTTGTTAGATAGATCTATGGCATAAATTTATTGAAATCTAGGAAATTCCAACTGAATATGCCTAATGTATATAAGAAAATGGTAAACCTATTGCGTAAGTCACGCAGTGTAAATGTGGTGATAATACTGCATAATTGTTTATTAATCACAAATAACATATAAATTATTACTAAACTCTTTAATTGTTTTACTTTTCTTAAAATCTTAGTACATTTTTTTCAAGTTTGATTTCTTGAAATAGTTTGGCTCATTTGCAGGTTTGCAGCTTTAAACATGCATATAATATCAAACCACTGTAATTATTTATTTCAGGATTGTATTCAACATTTGAAGCGTTCCTGATATTTACTGGTATACAGACGATAGTGGCCAACGTCTCTGTGTCATTTGGTATGACTAAATATTATGTTAATTCATTCATTCATTTCGTTCATTCATTCGTTCATTTGTTCATTCGTTCATTCATTCATTCGTTCATTCATTAGTTCGTTCTTTCGTTCATTCATTTATTAGTTCGTTCGTTCATTCATTCATTCATTCATTCATTCATTCATTCATTCATTCATTCATTCATTCATTCAGTTTTCTTTTCAATGCATTCATTCAAGTATTCACATATCGATCAATTAAAACATGTTTATAATTTACGTGATAACCTGATAATCGTTATTCACATCTCCTTTGATTGTAATTACATGTACGTAAGCATTATAAAAACTGCATGATTAACATGCATTTTACTGATCTATTGAAACGCAATATCAAATTATGGAATATCAAATTTCAAGAGTATTTAGTACAATGCACCTAGGACCTAATGTGGCAAATCGTCTCCCGCCGCCCTTCCTCCCCCACAAAAGTACAAGATTCCTTCCTGGTCGCGGTTTTTGACAGAACATTTAGACCACATTCGCCATAATTTCAATCGACCGTTGTTAACGTGTGACATATGTCATTCCGACTGATTTAGATTTTCTTGTTAGATTAATCGATTAAAGATCATTAGATTTAAAAGAGTTTTTGATAAATCAGTTAGATTACAACCCCATGCATTGTTCTGATGACTGACTAATTCCAATAATAATAATAATAATAATAACGATAATGATGATGATGATGATGATGATGATTATATCGAGGCAGATATAATGAATTTTTTTTTGTAGAATTTATAATGTGTAGTAGTTAGTTTAATTTTTCTCCGTTGATCAAACGTATGCAAAATTAAAGTAGCATTTCTTAAAATGTTCCTATATTTTCATTATTGAACGTTCATCATTATATTACTTCTATTCTCTAACTCATCTGCTCCTCGTTGTGCAGGTTACCTGATATCAGCAGGGTCACCGAGTGCAGAAGTTGCCATTGGGATAGCAGCACCGGCTGTCATTTGTTTCATGATGTTTGGCGGACTGTTCATGAACGCCGAGTAAGCAAATTTCATTTTATCAAATAGCGTTCATTCTTCAAAAATTTACGCGGCTGCTTGAATTTGTTAGAATAATTATTTCATATTTTGACGAAAATCATACCAAATTCTATTTATATACACAATATAAAAGAGAGTATTTTGATGTTTTTATTACAGACACAAAGATTAAAGTTTCTTCAACATTTTTATGGTAATTTTCTATTCCAGCTCCTTCCCAGTGTATTTTGTTTGGCTGGAATATTTATCGTGGTTCAAATATGCCGGCGAGCTTATCACTCTGAATCAGTGGGAAAATATTGAATCTATAGGTAATACAACCTTTTATTATATTGAGTTCAAATCCCGCTAAAGCTACTATATTCATGAAATGATAATGCCGATATACATCTTGCTCCCTCTCGATTTTGATTCTCGGCTCTACTTGGTGCCTTGCCGCTGTGGTTTTACGATATCGGGGGCTGCGTTCTGTGTATGTTGCTTTGCCTTATTGATATTTGTTCTCATTTTAAACATGTAGATTGTTTGTAAATATATTATTTTATAGATTGCGACGCACCTGCCGGAAGTGACCAGTGTTTGTTTAGCGATGGTCAATCTGTGATCGACTATTACAACTACGACAAGGTAAATATACTAGTATAAGCTCGTTATTCTTTACATATACATACATGTATTTCACATAATCCTTGTTTTTTTATTTATCCTGCAATATTGTCCAATTATTTGATGCCACAAAAACTAATATGTCATCTATATTAATGGTTTAGCGCGTATGTCCTTTTCCACTTGTTATCAAAAGTTGAATATTTACTGAATGGCATCAATAAAGAGAATAATATAAGCGTCTTCAAAAACTAGCCTGTCTGTAAAGTGTATCTCAATTATAAGCATTAAATTCAAAACATCATTCTTGTAGTATAAATGATAAGGGAGTCAATCACGCCCCTTGCCGAATACCGTCGATTATTTTAAAGATGATTATTTCACGGCGTCTCAACGCCGTGATATTGTGATGGGTAGTTTTCGGTAGCATGGGCAAAAGTCACGTGACAAAATTCCTTTCGATTTCTACAGCCGACATTTTATTGGCTTTAAATACGCAATCATTGTACAGCCCATTTCCGTGAAAAGTAATATAGAAACATTTTCCTTTCAAATCATATACATTTGTAGAATCTAAACAGTATTTTTATCAACACGCGAAATATCAGCGTGATATATTTACACAATTCCGCACATCCTTTCGACACACTGTATTTGTTTGAATACTAAAACCCGGATTTCGAATATCGTTGTGGTCTACATTGATGCCGTATCCATATCCATTCGTTTATATATTTTCAAAATTTTCCTACAAGAAGAAATTTCACCTGCCAATTAGTATAAGGATAGGTAATGGACTGTTATAAACGATTATCCTATTAATTTTATATATTACGTTTATCTGTTGCACAGAATGGTTGTTTTTACAAGGTGTACCAGTATCCGGATGTTGAAAGCTATCCGATTTTCTGCAAAAACTGCTGTCACATGGTCATCTATTTTTTTTATGAATACTTTACCATGAATTTGCATGGCTTAATAAAACTGAGCCTGCAACATTTCTTAATTTTGATGTTTGGGGTGTTCTTCTGGGTTTTTTTTAGGTTTTCTCTATTTTAAGGGGAAGTAACTCATGTTTACTAAATTATTTGTTCTTTTCTGTCTATCTTAGGTATTATACTTGGTTCCTATGATATCAAGGGTTCTATGATATCAAGGTATTTAAATTTTCTGTGACTGCTAGTAAAAGCAACACACGATGATGCTAATATTTGTAAAACTTGCACACTAGATTCATTTTCATCTGCCAATAAATTTAATTTGGTGAATAATGAATGTATTTGTGGCAAGAAAACTATTTTATAAAATCTTCATATTTGACTACCATTTTCCTTAATGGTTTTTACACAGTCAATTAAAATATGTTATAAACACATATACTGACATATAGTCTGTTCATAAAGTTTTAATTTTATAGCAAGTTAACTGATGGAAGTTTTTCACAACTTAACCTGAAAGTTTTGACCCATCAATCCTTCCATACTTGCTTTTTTTGGGGATTACCTTGATACCGTAGTAACCTCCTCTGAAATGACCCAAAATGGCAGGCATTGAAAATATTCTAAATACTGTCATTTTTATTGGTTCTTTTGAAATAATTTTTTGAGAAACAGTTCTGGAAAAGGTTCATTTATAAGATGGAAGAAAAATCACATTCATTTATGATATTTATATTTAAATATTTTCCGATAAATGTTAAGTACCTTGATATCATAGAACCCCGGGCTATAGGGTTTCTTAATCGGAAAAAAAATCATAATCGATCATTGAAAATAATCGACCAATCATCTATTATATAATCGAAACATTTACGATAACAAAGTAAATATGTACAATGCACATATCATGCTTTAATATTTATAATAATTCCATTAATAATCTATATATTGTGTAACTACCACTTAAGATTAAAATAAACTAGTTACTCATGCTTAATTATGTTCATCCTTGAGTAAAATATTTTAATCAAATAAATTCATTATATCTATGAAATTATTATGTCTCAATTCCAATAAAGGAATGAATAAGCTATGTATGAGAACAAGAGAAGTTGGTCATTAACAAAAATTCCAGGTTTTTTTAATGACACTATATATTGATATTGTTACCATCTTCAGTGTGTAGAATAATTTTATAGATATCTTCTTTGTTTGAAGTCAAAACATGTTTATTTCATATTTACAAATAGACTGTGTAGACATTTTCTAATTTTAAATTTGAGCATAGTATGTCTTTAAACTACAGAATGCCTCACTGTCAACTATTAATCTCATGGTCACCAGTATGCTTTCTCATTCATTTTAATGAAAGTTATTGGGTACACCAAAGCTGGCTTTAATTTAAAGTGTTGTTATAATACAGCGAGTCACTTAAGTAAGAGCAAGAAGATAAATAACCGATGATCGATTATTGAACTTTGTATTCGATCATCGCTAATCGGTCCTATAAACGATCAATTATCGATTATACTTGATCATCGTTTAATCCCTACAAGTTAGGTATTACTTACTATTTTTGTTTAATAAAATTTACCAGTTGTAAGGTAATCAAAAGCATAAAGGCCATGATGAGTGAATATTGATATATATTTTTTTACTGGCTTTATATACCTTAATTAGACCAGATTTTTCTAGTTTGTTCAGTTAGCACATATACTATAGGTATTCTGCTAGAGGAATATTCTAATCAATATGTGAAATTATTATTTTCTATGTGTTTGTATGTAAATTGCTCATAAAATAACCTTTGGTAAAAATGAAAAGGTAGATAATAATATTTAAGCTATACATATGGGTGCTCATTTTAAACACTTGATATATATAGTTACAGTTAGTTTTATAGTAAAGTCTAATGAGGGACAGTATTTGTTACTGTAAGAGATATGCATTTAATGTTTAGAAACTCACACAACTTAATCTTTCAGGGCCTTTTTACCTTCTATAACAGGGGCCGGTATAGGGCTGCTTCCCCAAAGAAAATTTCTTTAAAATCATGCAGTTTTCCCCAAAAATTGAATTTACATCAAGTTTTTTCTTCCCCTTTTGCAAATATACTGTGTAATTTTTCCCCAAAATTAAGGGCTGGGCTGCTTCCCCAAACTGTGAAAAAAGGCCCTGTCTTTATTATATGATTTTTATTGAGATTTTTTTTACTTTTATACTATACAATATCATGTACATTTTAGTTTTCTTTCTACAAGATTATGAATTCCCCCCAAACACCAATGTTAATAGGATGTTATATATTTATTTTTAATGGAACCTGAGAATTATTTATGTAATGTTCATACAAGTGTATCATAGTATATGGATATAATGTGTATTTCTGTATTTAAAGACTTACAGTTATGATGGATGAGACTTGCATTTAAATTTATAAATGATAATACATGATCTGATAAGTCTACAGGTTAAAAATGTTTATACCCAGTGTTAGCTGGCTAATAATAGTATCTATAACAGAGTTTATATATTATAGTTTTCTTTCTACTAGATTTTGAATTCCATCCATTAGTACCAATGTTAATGGTAGGATTTCATATTTATTTAATAGAAACTGGGAATTATTAATGTTATGTGCATACATGTATATCTTAGTATATTGATATGATGAGATTTATAATATTTCTGAATTTAAAGAGTTACAGTTATGTCATTATTATTAAAGGGATGAGACTTTCATTTAAAGTTATAAATGATAATACATGTATTGATTGAAAATGTCCTGAATCTTGGATCCAGCAATATAATTGATAAAGTCTCAAAACAAATCATATTCTGAATAGTTACATTCTATTTTTTTTCTAACATGTGCATAGTTTGAAATGGACAGCTTCTGCCTTATCTATTTGTAATGGAGGGACACCGGTCTCAATCTCCAGGTCTCCTGAGTCAACCTGACAACATACTTTTCATAGAGTAGATTGTTACTTGCCCTTGAATAAATTTGTACACTAAATTTTATAGTGGGTGATTTAATGTGCCACATGAAAACCAACAAAGTACAAAAAGTAACCAGGCGCCAGATGAAAACATGAAAATACAATCTACCACGAAGTGGTTCGTTGGTTGCATAATTTTCATGTTTTCGCCCGGTGCCCTTGATGCAAAATACAAATCAGTCTTCATAAAATTTCTTATCATAGAAAAAAGGTTAGTTTTTATCTGTACAAAAAATAGATATTGTACATGAATTAGCACAGTTATGTTCACTTTCAAATTGACCTGTTATAATGGCACAACCAATAACTGTCTAAGCCCTTTTTAGTAAAAATAATTATACAATGGTATATAAATTGTTATCTTAATTAAGACTATATGAGTATGTAAGGGTTTTTTTTCTAATTTATTAATTAAGAATTATTTATCTGTTAATTTAAAAATCTAAATATCTGTCAATTGGTTTAGAACTGTTCACTATTTAGGGGAGAAAATGTGTAAGTGGCCAGATAGCTCAATCGCTTCAGCCGCGGTACATTATTCTGTGGGTCACAGGTTTGAGTTATGGTGAAGCTGAAAGTTTTTCTCATCCTGTGACTGCATATAACCATGAGTTTAATTAACTATGCTCTGTAAACATCAGAAATTCAAGGACATTAATCAATATAGTGGAGAAATATGTTGTGGTTTAGAACTGTTTCATTATTTAAGAGAAAATGTGTAGCCGGCCGGATAGCTCAGTTGGTCTTCTGAAAGTCATGTGTTCGAGTCATGGTCAGGCAGTTTCAGTCAGGGTTTAGAAGTGGTTTTGCGACTGGCACATGTTTTATTCATTTAATAAAGTGCATTTAATTTGAAATGGACAAAGGCAGTATTGCATGATACTGTTAGATCTACAAAAGCATTTGATACAGTTGATCACACTATACTGCACATGAAGAAGTTCTTTTTCTTCTTCTTCATGGAACTTCAAGCATCTGCCATATGTAATGACATTCTTACATGGTTCAAGTTTTATCTCTGATAGCAGCTGGTTGATGTGGCTGGTTACATACTCCTTCTACTCCTGCTCTGAGTACCTATGGTGTCCCCCTGATGTTCATTTTAGGTCCTCTTTTATGTCTAATATATGTCAATGACATGTCTGCAACCCTAAGCAATAAGCTTTATTATATGCACAAGTACAAGTATCAGACCTGGGAAGAAAAAATATGATTAGATTTTCTTCCCAGGTTCGATACTCGTGCATGTGATTATATGATGATGACTCAGGTATCCTTGTATCTGGTAAAATAAATCTTAAGATTGGTTAATTGACTATAAATTGTCTTTGCATCTTGGCAAGACAGTTGTCTATTCTTTTTGGTTTTAAGTTTCAACTTAAACTGGGCCTAGCCTCCAGGTCACATGAAATGGTACAGCTATAAAGTACACATCTTTTGTTAAGTATTTAGGTCAAATTCTTTTGGCGTCGCCCTTTGATGCTTTGCATCAATGCTTTTCTTGTTGTCTTTTTTTGAATAATTTCATTTTCTTGCGCAATAAAACATTTTTTCCCTAAAATGAGACTTGGTTTTCCATATGCGTTTCACAGTAAGCATTTACCATACCAGGTTGTACAATAACTTAATTTGGTCCGTAAATCAGTCTTTTACTCAAAGTCTTCTGAACTTCATTCAGAATTCATGTCTCATTATTGTGAGCAAAATTCTGAGTTTCCTTTAGCTATAAGCTGGAAAATGTTTAATTATTCCCCGTCGAAAAGATGGTTGGGGATATAAAATTAGTCTCCGTCCGTCCGCCTGTCCTTCCGTCAGTCTGTCCTTCCGTCCTCATTTTAGTCCGGACCATATCTTAAAAAGTATTTGAGGTATCAACTTGAAGCTTCATAGGTGGATAAATCATAGGAGAAGTGCAGTGCACAACAATGATAATTCTACCCTACATAATTTTTCAGTTATTGCCCTTTGTTATCTTTCAAACTTAATTTTTGTCCAGAGCATAACTTCAAAAAGCCATCTCACTCAGGGGTGTGCAGTGCAAAAAAAGTGATTAACTCTACCCCTTCATAGTTTTTGAGTAATTGCCGGCTTTGTAATTTTGCATACTTTATTTTTCATCTGAGTGGAGCATAACTAAAAAAAATCTTTGAGATGTCAACATGAACTTCATTGGTGGATTGATGTTATTGAGGAGGAATGTTGTGCGAAAAATGATAACTGTACCGATTGTAATTTTTTAGTTATTGACATTTTGTTATTTTTCATACTTTTTGTCCGGAGCATATCTCAAAAAGTGTTAGAGGTAGATCTTACTCACGAGGTGATAACTCTACCCTTCATATTTTTTGAGTTATTTCCCTTTGTTATTTTTCATACTAAATTTTTCACCTGAGTGGAGCACATCTCAAAAAGTGTTAGAGGTAACACCTTGAAACTTCATAGGTGGATAGACCTCATTGAGGAGGAGTGCTGCACACAAGAGTGATAACCGAGCGTGCATTATTTTTCAGTTATTGCCCTTTGTTATTTTTCATACTAAATTTTTGTCCAGAGTATAACTACAAATGCCTTTGATATATCAACATGAAACTTCATATATAGATGATTTCTCACTCAGGAGGTGTTCACTGCATAAGGGTGATAACTCTACCCTTCATAATTTTTGAGTTATTGCCCTTTTTTATTTTTCATACTAAATTTTTCACCTGAGTGGAGCATATCTCTAAAAAAGCTTTTGAAATGTCAATATGAAACTTCATAGGTGGATATATCTTATTAACGAGGAATGTTGTGCACAAGAATGTTAACTCTACCCTTTATAATTTTTGAGTTATTGACATTTGTTATTTTTCATACTTTTTGTCCAGAGCTTATTCTCAAAAGTGTTAGAGGGAATAACTTGAAACTTCATAGGTGGATAGAATCTCATTGAGGAGGATTGCAGCACGCAAGAATGATAACCTACCGTGCATTGTTTTTCAGTTTATTGCCCTTTGTTATTTTTCATACTTAATTTTGTCCCAGAGTATAACTACAAAGGCTTTTGAGAACCATCATAGGTGGATAGATCTTACTCAGGAGGTGATAACTCTACCCTTCATATTTTTTGAGTTATTGCCCTTTGTTTTTTTTTCATAAAGTTTTTCACCTGAGTGGAGCATATTTCTAAAAAAGCTTGTGAAATGTCAACATGAAACTTCATAGGTGTATAGATCTTATTAAGGAGGAATGTTGTGCACAAAAATGATAACTTTACCTATAATAATTTTTGAGTTATTGACATTTGTTATTTTTCATACTTTTTGTCCGGAGCTTATTTCAAAAATTGTTAGAGGTTACAACTTTATCACTACAAAAGCCATTGAAATATCAACATGAAACTTCATAGGTAGATAGATCTCACTCAGGAGGTGTGCAGTGCAAAAGAGTGATGACTCTATCCTTCATAGTTTTTGAGTAATTGCCCTTTGTACTTTTTCATACTTAATTTTTCACCTGAGTGGAGCACAACTCAAAAGGTCTTTGAGATGTCAACATGAAACTTCATTGGTGGATTGATCTTATTGAGGAGGAATGTTGTGCGCAAGAATGATACCCTTTATAATTTTTGAGTTATTGCTCTTTGTTATTTTTCAAACTTTTTGTCCGGAGCTTATCTCAAACAGTGTTAGAGGTATTAACGTGAAACTTCATAGGTGAATAAATCTCATTGAGGAGGAGTGCGGCACACACCTACCGTGCATTATTTTTCAGGTATTGCCTTTTGTTACTTTTCATACTTAATTTCGTCCAGAGCATAACTACAAAAGCCTTTGAGATATCAACATGAAACTTCATATGTGGATAGATCTCACTCAAGAAGTATGTACACAAGAATGATAAATTATTCTGCTCTACTACATATGCATGGCTCTTGTAACAAGTTACATTACAATACTTAAAAACCTTCTTAACAAGTTAACCTGTCAATTAAACTCAATGCTATTTGGAGATACCTTAACATTATACTTAACTGTTTGTTTTTGTATTTTTTCTTTTTTTCGCCGTGACAATCACATTGCTGCATTTCCCAGCAATTTTTTACTTGTATTCTTCTTTTTTTACAGGATAATAAGCAGCTGGACATTATACTTCTATGCGTGATGCTGGTCGGATTCCGAATACTTGGATTTATTGTTTTACTTGTACGAGCAAAATTATCTAGAAACTAGAAATTTACATCCATTCCCTTGTTGAATGTGCCAAGGAATGTGACACCGAAAGCAGTGTAATAAAAAGAATATGCAAATATTTCAATTCTTTAATATCTAAAGGTCGCAGATAAGACTTTTTTCGATAAAAAAAAGTTTATTTCCAAACTTAAATAATTCTTTAGTGACACTTAAAGGGAGGTAATTATATTCTGAATTGGGATACCCAGAATTGATAGACTATGTACCTATTGTCTTGAGCAGCAGGCAACAGTGGTAGAAGTATTCGCAGGCAAGAGATTTATACCTGGGTAAATTTATTGAGTAATACATTGGATGTTGTCTATGCTTAAATGTCTACAAACAAAAATTGTAAAATATATGTAAGTTTATTCTCACAACAGTTAAACGAATTGTGCCGTTTTACTATGTAAAAGCATTACTTCCATTATGTAATAGGGTGCAATTCACTAGAACAGTGAATATTACTGATATTGCATTTGATTTATGGACATTGGCCTTCGTATACAAAACAAAATGTTGGTATTTATTGTTATTATTGTTAATGTGATAAAAAATTGATCTTACATAAGTTTTTATGTATTAGAATTATCGCCCTTTTATTTAATTATACGCGACACATCACATTTTGTATTGAAATAATACAAGTTTGAACAATAATGTTGTACAAATTATTCATGAAACTCATTACTTATTATACGTATTGTTGCTTTAAGTGATTTTTTCGTAGGTATACAAATAATTGTTTTCAGTAGATTCACATGTATATGGTATTTTATAATACTGAACGTTTGTAACATCGCTTTTCTTTGGATAATCGTGACGTTCAAAAAGTTTTATAAACACGACTGCTGTAAAAGAAATCTCACTTTTTCCTCTCTGAAAAAGCGGTTTGCTGTATATAAAGGTTTCTGACAGTTTATATGACCGTATATGTAAACGGTTGTTTGCAATATAACCCTCGAACAACCGTTTAATATATACGGCCATATATCTGTCAATAATCTTTATAACTAATAGCAAAAAGACAACAGTTTTTAGTAAGACAATCACATCACATCATGTCAGAAATTTGGGACATATTACTATGTCTTTCTCAGATGATTAAATGTACATGATTTTATGATAATTTTCAGCATTGTTACAATATTGTTTCTTATGTTCCTTTTTTAAACGTATTCTGATTTCATGATAATTTTCAGCATTGCTACGATATTGTTTTATTTTCCTTAAAACCATTATTACGACATTTACAGAATTATTTATACATCAATAAATCGTTTTGTTTATAACGCTGGACTTTTTGTTATTATGTTATGTTTCATTTTCATGATATTTTGATAAAACTGAACTGTGCTCCTGTTAAGATATGTCATGAAATATGCCTATGCACCAAATTAAATCCCTTTTTGTTTCATCTGGCCAAACCCGTGGGAACTTTTCGGTAACTAAACTTCTCCAGCTAATATGTTTTGTAAGGTTCCTAGATCCTGCCAATTTTAACTGTATAACTAATAAAAATCTTAGGTCGATTTTCTTATCACCCAATTTTCGTGTTTGTAATGCTATTCCTGAAGGGAGAAGATGCGAAATAAAATTCGCATTGTCGTATCTTGGCGTTCTTAAAAGGGCGAAGTGATAACTGGTGCGAACGGAACACCATAGTTTTAGCGCTATATGTCAGTTGCTCTGGAAATGATTTACTACTTTGTCTAGCTTTGACTAGTGTGCGGTTATATATTCACAGAAGCTTATTTCATTTGAGCGTCATATTTTTACAAGCGAATATGCTCATAGAAAAAAAATATGTTATTAACATTTTGCGACATCTGTAAATAATTGTCCCATATTTCGTCTGCGAGTGCCATTACATTTGTCTGATCCACCAAAGCGATCGGATCCATTTAACCTAAAATGATTGAACACTGCTAAATGCTAAGCAATGTGGCATAAGCTGTGCAATATTAAACATTCCTAGCACATGAACATGGACAAAGAAACTCGAAACTGCACTTTTTCTGTGTAGTTATTTCTCCCCATGCATATAAGTATCTCTTTTTGAACTTTTGGAGGAATTCTTGACGCCGTTCCAAAAATAGTTTTCGCATGATATATTTAACATTAACTTTACAAAATACATGTATGCCAAGGTAATTCCATAATAAATCATTATCCAAAGCATGAAAGTCTTAAAACCGTCACATGTACCACTGAAGACAAAGCAATCCGAACAAGATGTCGCCTCATTATTGTATCAACGGTAGTTCTTACCCAACAGTGATCTAAAAATAGAAACAAAAATGAAGAAATGACTTGGTTATCTAATTTTGCTTTTAAAATTCTAATACATATAAGCAACCTATTGAAATAAAAACACGAAACACGCTGATACGTTAATGAAAGAAACCTATCAAAAGCTTATCAGATTTCTCATTTGAATCCATTCATTCTACATTTAACGACAACCGGTGCTAGAGAGCATGGTATAATATAGCATTATCATTAATTGACATGAAAACAACCTAAACATAAATCAAATCTCTATGTATGAGTCATGTAAGAACAAATCAAAATAATAATAATTACCTGCACATGAATTTGACTATTGAAAAAAAAAGATCTATCCGGAAATAAAAGAAATGCTAAGCATACGTTTGTATTTATTTAAAACAAAAGCATAAAACCCAAAAAACATCAGCATCCCTTGCCCGACCCCCTAACAAAAAGATGAAAAAACCAAGAGAAAAAAAGATGAAAAAACAACAAACAAACAAACAAAAACAACAACATCAAAAAAACAAAAACAAAAAAAACAGAAACAAAAACAAACAAACAAAAAGAAGAAAAAACAACAACAAAAAAACAAACAAAACAAGCAAACAAAAGAACAAAAAAAAACAAAAAGCAAACATAGCTCAAGATAACCACAAGATACAATAACAACAGGGGACAGGCATTTGTAGTGAGAATAAACACGATAATATACTCACCTTTCTTGTGCACATCATCCACTGTGGTTACTTTTATATCGGGAAGGATCATCAAGAGTGACCACACAATGGTTGCTATAATACATACTGGGCACATTAGCCAGAATCTAGACACTTCAACGGGATCGATAAAATATAGGAATATAGTCGATAACAGCGTTACCATCTCACTCGAAACCTGTGAAATAAAATGCGATGTTTGTAAATTGAAATTTCATTTTTTGTAACCTTTATACTACTTGATTTTTTAAATATGGAATTGCATTGCTTTGACTTAATTACTAATAAGGAGCTCCACTGAAGTCCATGGATAAAAGCCTGAAAAGTTAAGCAAAGACAAAGGAACATTTTATTACACGCCGGCCTCTCGAGGCCGGCGTGTGATATGGTATACATAATGCTGTGTTCTCACCGCCGATCAGATCAACTCGATCAAGCACGATCAAGCGATCGGGTACAAGTCTAGCTCGGTCTGCATGCGTGATCGGGGGTAGACCGCTCCGACCACCCCCGATCACGCATGCAGACCGATCGGCATGGCTCGGGCTTCCTATACCCGAATTTTTTTGACATGTCAAAAAATTCGAGTAGCGATCGAGTAGATAAGACGTCGAGAAGCGATCGTATAGTGATCGAGTAGAAGATCTAGTTGATCGAGAATAAATCGTGTAACGATCTAGTTTGGTCGGGTATACATCGGTTATACATCTCTTACCCGATCTGTACACGATCATCTCGACTTCTACTCGAGCATTATCCGATCTGGTCGAGTGGAAATCTGGCAACGATTGAGCAGAGGTCCAGTTAGTCTAGTTGAGATCGTGTATGACTCGCGTATAGGTCTGGGTGATCGCTGGAACATACGATACGTTATAGTACATCCCAGGTGATCGAGAAGAAGTCGGGATGTTGGTCGGGTTGTCGTCGAGAAGAAGTCGTAAACATGGTCGACTTGAGGTCGTGTAGGAGTCGTGAATTTGCATTTAATCCAGCTTGGTCGGGCTTCATCGGGGAATTAATGTGATCGAGTTGATCTGATCGGCGGTGAGAACATAGCTTAAGATAAAATTTTCATGGGCAAAAAATTGGCCTGTGTGTTTGACGTCATAAGGCCAAAACAAAATGGTCTTGAGGTTCTGGTAACATGCTGAAAAAAATAGGAAAAACATTTTTTTTTTTAATTAGTATTTTATTAAAATTTAACTGTATGTCAGATATATACACACTATAGGATACTCCAATTTTGCAATAAAATGTTCTAGGTAAGGTGCGGAAATACAGGGTCGGTCCGGTTACTGGAACCACAAGATCATTTTGTTTGGCCTAATCTCGCGTGAATAAGTCTCGCGAGAATTGTCTTTTTTTTTAACATGAACGAATATCAGTATATAATTAAGTTATAATAATTATTTGAGAAAAATACGTGATGAAATAATTTAAAATGAAAAAGAAATGCTTTTATTTAGACACGTGACTAAAGTTCTTGCTAAAGAAAAACAACATCCAATGAAAATGCGTTATTTACACCACGTGGTTTTCACACGCATCGGGGTTTGCCTAAAATACGAAAGTGACGTTTTTTTACGAAAGTGAACGAAAGTGACTTTAAAAATATGAATTATAGCTTTTAGATAGAATTTTACAATAAAAATGGCAGTTTGCAGACGAATAATATTTAGAAACTCATTATATTTTATTATCAAAAATAATCATTTACGCATTTATTTGCATAATTTCTAAACACAAGTTCTGAGATCTTCCTTTCGCTCACATTGAAAAAACATACGAAGTGTCTTATAAGAAATAAAAAAAAGAAGCTTTTAAATGGAAATTTAGTCGCTCATTGCTAATATTACACTCTTTGTTGACGTATATTATCAGAAATTCAATAATATTTATTGTCAAAAATAATCATTATGATGCTAGTAATACCCCATTTTATTTAGCATGATTTTATATTCAAGTTCAGCTTCCTTTCGCTCACACTGAAAAATACGAAAGTGACTTATAAAATATTAAAATATTAGTATTTTAATTGAAATTTATAATGAATTAATTTTGCCAGTTTGTACACGTACTTTTTTGTATAAATGATTGTATAATTATTTTCCCAAAAATACATGATTTTGATGATCTAAAATATCAAAGTTATTGCATAATTTCTCATAGCTGTAAACAAGTTCAGAGATCTTCCTTTTCGCTCGCAGACAATAATGTGAAAGTGATTTATTCGGACGACTGGGCGAGAGGAAATGAAAGTAAAAAAATAATTAAACTGTTTACCGTGATGTAACACCGGCGGACCTTTGGGGGGGTGCAAACGCACTTGGGAGGGTCGGGACCCCGAGAAGTTGCGTTTAAATGCGCAGGCCGGGCACTTGGGGTGCAAACCGCACTTGTGGGGTCAAAATCGAGAAATGACCCCAAAGTTGCCCGTATAATATGCTTACATATCAACTCACTTTTGGGTATCCAGATGCGTTCTAAAAAGTGTGTAATCTCGAGTTCTCTTAACAATACTGAGAAGCTGACTTATATTTCGATCTTCGACATTTGAAATATTGGAGTTGGAGTTCAAGATGGCGGTCAATACTTTGATTGATGCTTAAGTGACTTAAAAAGTGTCATTAATTTTTACCAACTTAAAAAATATCCAAAAATATATAATAATTTGTTTCACAATAACAAATCTGGTGGCATAAAAGTGACATTTGCATTTATTAATTTAGAATTTTGCATACATAGTTGTTTTTTGAAGTTTGCATACATAATGTGGTGGTTTTTCAGTTTTGCATTCATATTATTTTTTTGAGCTTTGCATTTTCATATTTTCTTAAAGTTTTTCGAGTGACAGGTGTTTGGACGTACTTTTCGTTTTTTTGCGTCGACATATTGGAGAGCGCAGAATCAAAAAAACAGCCTTCACATCTGCATGAGAGCAGCGGCGCATAAGTTGAGTTATGAAAGACTAGGCAGCTAGTTAGTAGTTGAGTCAGGAGTATTCGGCCCATTGGTTTGGTGAATCGGGGGCCCGGGTGCGGTTCTTGGCCGGCCGCGAAGAGCGTATGGGTTTCGGGGCCGACCTTTTGTCGGGCCCATTTTTTTTAGAATGCCAATAGTGGCGAGTTGTTAGAGTATGAGATATACGTGGAGTGTGTATTATTTTTTAAATTATTATTCTACTATCTATAGTAGTGTCTATTTGGAAAGGCTGTTGATTGGTGAAGGGAATTGAATGATGCGGCCAGGCGAAGCGCCAGCGCGCGCTGAGTTATGAGCGGTGGGGAGAGGGGTCAATTGACTTTAAACCAAGACCGCACCACTAGGTAAAATCTTCGCCTGTCGGGGGTATTTCAGAATAACATATCACTGCCTTATGCCCGGAACAGCGGAGACATTCACCACATTCTTTAACCGCACTTCTCCCCAGGGGGCGGAGAGGGGAGGTTGCGGTTACAATGAGCTGGTGTATTACAGGGTGAATAGCACAAGATAGAAATTCTAAATAGGTCTGTATGATTCGCAGCTGAATTTAGAAGAAAAACATATATATATAGCATTATAGAGCATGTAGCATTGTATATATGCAGAACAGTAGGATAATATCTAGGTGTCTTTCTGTATATATATGAGTACTTAAAAGGTGGTATTAATCTTGTTGATACCCCAAAAAATGCAAAATGGTGAGTATTTTTGCAAATTGCGAATGTTTGGCAAATGGGGTACTGTACAATTTACAGATGGCGAAGTGTAATTGAAAATGAGTGGTTGTTTACCAATGCCTCCGGGCGTAATGGTATCGCAAAGCCATCGTAGCTTGCAGAATAGGCGTCAGAAGTAAAGATTAGTGTAGCGAAGAGAAGGAGGTAAGGAAAACAAAACAGAAAGAGGTAAGAATATGTGGTAGCCGAAGAAAAGCGTAAAATAAATGATAGTATGGCAAGACTAAAATAGAAAGTGATGTAGATGCAAAGCGTTAAAGAATATGGTACTGCAAAGGCTGTAAAAGCAATAGGTGAGTGGAGAGGAAAGTAAAAAAAGCTATCAGTGTTAGTAAAACCTAACAAGAGATTTATGACCAAACAAAAGAGAACACAAAAAAATATTGTTACGAAAAAAATAGTATCAGAAGAAACAGAAGAAGAAGAGTTGCGAATGTCACTCTTTTTAGCCACGTTTTCAAAATATCTTTTAGTACAGAGAAGTCTGGTGCTAGTTGCGCTAGGAGTGTTAGGAGGATGCTGCCGAAACATTTATCCCCGTTCGGTGTCGACAGCGTTAGCTTGGATAGAGCTGTTTGGGTGCCATGGTTGAAGGCGGCCATGGGTTGAAAGGGTAATGTAAGGGAAGTGAAATAACAATGCAGTTAATATTTCCCCCCTCCACGCGCGCGCGGCGCTAAAGGCAGACGCGGCCCAGATGCGTTTATTTGTTATGGAATCTTAAACTATCTCAGAGAGAGTGGGAGGGTTTTTATATTGGTTAATAATCAATGTTTATCAGAGAGATGTAAGATGTGTTGTACGGTGAATTAGGAGGCGGTAGCAGATAATGTGAAAATTATTTGTTCATAAAGTAGTCAGAACCAAGGTGTGAGTATGCTGACGGTCATATAGAAACAGGGTAGAACTACTGTGGATGCTGACGGTGAGTAACGGGTACTGTAATCATCATTCGTCGAAAGGAAGGAACAGATGAGAAAGAGGATGGTTCGGAGAGGTAATTTGCCAGAGTGTGTTATGTTGGTGTTGATGAATGATAAAGAGACATCAAAAATAGAACAAGCTGAAGGAAGAGGAACAGGAATATGAGAAGCATGAAGTGGGCCGTTTAGAAATGGTTATTTTTTTAAACCTGCGGGGAGATTCCGATAGCCCGCGACAATCCCCTCGATATACCCACCAGTGAGGAGAGTTTTACAGGTGTAGTGTGCTGAGAGGGGTGCGCTTCTAATGGGTGTTGGCGACGGTGACTTGAAATAGTTTTGATATTTTTTTGACTGGCCTGTACGGACTACTACTTAATAGCCGACGATCTTCACCTAGTCAAGTTTTCTATCTGTGTCAGTTACATTTTTAGCGTGAGAGGGAGTGAAGTGGCGGGTAGTTTTAACATATTTATCAGCAAATTTTTTTACCTGAAATGTTCTTTACTCAAGAGTGGTACGCGGGGTAGGGATTTACCTTTGTCTAATTGCAAAAGACCTAATCAATTTCTGTAAAAGTGTGGTAAATAACAAGAACGGGAAAATGATGCATTAGCGGTAAAAACAATGGAGTTAATGTAAAGGTGTACATTCTTTTTAAATAGAACATGGAAAATTTTAGAAGAAAACAGTAATTTTTAAGCTTGAAAGCTGCGTTGGTGCCTCCAGATGAGTGCAGAAATATTTCAATAAAATCAAAAGCAGAAATATGTACTACGATTGATAGGAAATGTAAAATGATTCAAGATTCAAGTAATATTTTACATGTTATGTGCGGTCAATGAACTGAGTTTTCAATATTACAAAACTATTATTCCTACTGCGTTACTAACGCATTAAGGGCTATTTATGCATACTATTGACACTTTTTTTGGTAATCTTTTCGTGAGAGTTATAAGTGCCTTTTGCATAATGTGAGAACGAAGAATAGCGTTAGCTGACGCCGATGAGAGTAGCGCTGGGGTGCACTGGTGCAAGGGCCGGGGTGTTAAAATTGGAGATTCTTGCCAGTGTGTGGCTGAGGAGCGATATTATATTTATGAAAACTAAATTGTTTTGCGGTGACTTTCTTTAAAATTATCTTTAAGATGGATGGTTGAGATGCGGTCATGGTAGGGTGTGGATGACGGTGTGGGCAGGTACATTATCTGACGCAATCATATCTCCTTCGCTTCATATGTGAACCTGCGGACGGAAAGGTGAGGCTTTATTGAGATATTCAATATAGCGTTTATAAGTAGACGTTTAAGTATAGTATTGCAGTTTGAAGAATACTCAGTATTAAAAGACGTACATTTATAGATATTTTGTTTATAAAATAGTAGTGAGGTATCATAAAGATCAATTATGTTCCCTGAGGTTTTCAGGAACACATAGACATTCAGTATGTTGTATGTACCTTATGATCACGTAAAGTTGCATAGAAAGCGGTTGATTAGCATCAGTTTAGCAGGATGACCACCTGATTATATTTAAAAGACGAGTAGGTAGAGGTCGGACTTAGCAGAATGTTTATGACGGCGGGATATTTCGCGACGAGACTGTTCATACGAAAGCTTCTTGTTCAATAGTACAGTACATTTTTTGTGACCTTGTGTACATAAAATTTTCATGTATGATCGCCACACAAATAACTATGCAAGATCAAAGGAAGTTTGAATTCCTTTTTTCCTGCATTAGATATGGCCCTTTCTTACTTTTTATACTGTATACAGTACATATTTCACAAGTTGTGTAACTTCAATTACTGACTTTAACAAAAATTCTACTGCCGGCGTATAAATATTTAACTTGTAAATAGATTGTGATCATTCACAGTGCGTGAATTTATTATTTTATCCGTTTCGCAATGATTTTGCTATTGCTTTAAAGG